AACAGTGGGATTTTGGAAGTGCCCCCATCCCATCTTGGTTATTCTTGGTATCACTTATTTGTCAATAAGCCTACCTGCCCAGTCTAATAGGTAGATGGCATTAATAGAATTATGTCAGGAACCTCAAGTCTTTTTAACTGTGAATTATAATTGTGGGATAGAGCAAATTGAACAGGATATTTTCAGTTAAGACCACATGTATAGCTGGGCATGGTGGTTCACGCACACTCAGGAGACTGAACAGGAGGATTGCTGTGAGTTTGAGGCCAGTTTGGGCTATATAGTGAATTCAGGGCCAGCCTGAACTACATAGCAACACCTTGTCTCAAAAAACAAAACAAAACAAAACACAAACGAACAAAAAGGAAGACCACATCTACAATGAATATTATAATTATGAATTGAAATCATGGAGCACATGAGCCTCAACTTTGTAGTTTAGTGGCCTATGAACTGATTGATTTTACTTGTGTAAGAAAGATATGGTTCTGTGTTGTGAGGTGTGGAACTTGTAGAACTTAAATTTTTTTCTTTTTCTTTTTCCTTTCTTCTTCCTGTGTAGTCCATGTCAACCTTGAGTTTACTTAGTACCTCAGGCTGATCTTGAACTCAACGTCTTACTACTTTCAGCTTTTCAAGTGCTGGGATTACAAGCATGTGCCACCACATGCAGCCATATAACTTAGCAATTCCTCATGATCATTCTCTGTTTAAACCTATCTGTATGATCTATTTTGGTTGGCGATGCATATATATAATAAAAATATATAGTTATAATCAAAATGCTAAGTAATTTTATGTTTTGACTTTTATCGAGTGCTATTCTAGTTACTTTATATGCATTTTCCTGTTTACTCCTCAAAATGATAAAAGAGCTTTTGTTGCTGCTTCTGTTTTTACAGAAGGAGAAACTGAGTACAATGTTTAAAGTAAGATCATAAAAACCAGGAAAACATAGTCTGTGTGATTCCAAAGCTCAGAGTCTTAACCTGTTAAGCCCTACTGTTTGCTTTGTGATTAACTTTCAAGATTGATTGTTAATGAAAATAATGTGTCTGATCAGTAGAAGCACTAACTTTTCAGACTGTACAACTGGCAAATTTTCATATTAGTAGACCCGTATAAAGAATGCTGCAATGGTCTTATTTTACTCTTGTAGGAATTGAAGGATGTGGGCCATCGGGATCAGATGGCTGCAGCCAGAGGAATCCTGCAGAAGAACGTTCCGATCCTCTATACTGCATCTCAGGCTTGCTTACAGCACCCTGATGTTGCAGCGTATAAGGCCAACCGGGACCTGATATACAAGCAGCTGCAGCAGGCAGTCACTGGCATTTCCAATGCTGCGCAGGCTACTGCGTCAGATGATGCTTCCCAGCACCAGGGTGGAGGTGGAGGAGAACTGGCATATGCTCTCAATAATTTTGATGTAAGTTATGCTTGGGAGGAAACTTCATTCTCTTCACCATCCCCTAGAAGATAATAGGCTTGGGGAAATGTGATCAAGGCTTCTGATGAAAGCCCAATTGCAAATCTTAAGTGGAAAGAAATTTTTATGAATCATCGGTCTACTTGATTATAACTTGGCTCAAAGCATTTCTCTTTTTTTCAGTTTGGGTTAGATTTCTGGATTGTTTCATGCAACTTGTTTCTTATGAGGTCATTTTTTATTGAGAACATGAGTCTGGGTCATTTCAACCAAGATTTTGACCTGGCAGAGTTTGTTTTATTTTAGTATTTTGTGATAGGATGTCATTTATTCCAGGCTGACCTCTAACTCACTGTGTAGGTTAGGCTGGACTTGAACTCTTGGTGAATCCTCCTGTCTCAGCCTCTTTATTGTTGGAATTATAGGCATGCACCACTGTGCCTAGCTCCTTCTAACAGATTTGAAACTCTGGGAGATACAGAAGCAAGGTGTACATATGTTCTGACCTCTAAGAGCACATGGTCTGCTGAGAAATAACAGATAACACCATACTGATTGCTGTCACCTTAATTTTAATTGTCTGCTTAGATATACTTCTCCATGAATTAATTTGAACCATGAGCACACAATTTAATCAAGTGAAGGTGTGTTTGGAATTAAAGTATTTTCTTAGCATAATGTTACAGAATTACCTTTTATAAATGATGTCCTAGATCCTATGTGCATTTGTGTATACATAATGTGCACAACTCTGATGTTTTTAAAAAATTCCTACGCACAGTGCCTCTGGCTTCCAGTAGATGGCAGCAGGTTAAGATTTTTTTTTTTTTTTTTAAGTTTTTTGTTTATTTTAAACCAATTGTCAGGGCAGAATTTTTTCTTTTAAATTAAAGTAAGGGAATTTTGTGTGTTAAAGTTTTTTTTTGTGTTGTTTTGTTTTGTTTTCTGTTATTTTTTTGAGATAGGGTCTTGTTGTGTAGTTCAGGCTGGCCTTGAACTCTATTCTCCTGCCTCAGCCTCCCCAGTGCTGGGATTACGGGTGTGTACTGCCACACCTGGCTAAGTTTCTTAATAGGAGTACTTCAAAATAGAGAAATCAATACAATGGAGTACTTTCTTTTAAATCAGTTTTGCCTTGCCTTTACCTATTTTGTCTTACCTCTTTTGCTAGGGTGAGAGATCTTTGCTAGTAAGCTTGCCTAATTTATAACTTTTCATAAGGCATGAAGGCTGTGTAAAGTCTAAAGACCATGGTAGTCAGACTGGAACTTTAAACATGAAGTGATTATAACAAACTCTTAAAATGGGTCTTTTTCTTCCCTTTTGCACTGAGCTGCATCCACAGTCTCTCTCCATTGTTATTTTTTTATTTTGAGACACTGAGTTGCTAACTTGCCCAGACTGGGCTTGATTTTTTAATTCTTCTGCTTCAGCAGGTATATAGTGAGGAAAATGGATAAAAGTCATTATAAATGCATCCCTTTTGGAAACACTGGCGTAGAAGTCAATGTTACGTAGTTCTAATTTTTTTTGTTGGAAAACAATTCTGCTCCTATCATGCAGCAGTTTTATACTCTGCATATAAGAAGCATAAGTTTTATTTTCTTTGTAATTCTCATTTGATAATTTGATTTACTATTCTAGTACAGGCTGACCTTTAGATGTTTAAAATAAGTAGTATGAACACGACACAACTGTGTTTGCATTTGTGGTATCATACCTTATCCAGGGCCTGTTTGGCGGGATAGTACCCCTTTTGGGAAGTGGTCTACTATAGTTCAGATGTTCAGCTGCCAAGAAAAGTAATTCTCTTTTAGGTGTTGGAATTGTCCGGATATTCGTGATAGATACTTTCCTTGCCTTCTTAAAGCAGACAGAACAGAAATGAGCATCACCCTTTGGTAAAACTTCCTTTTCAGAAACAAATCATTGTGGACCCTCTGAGCTTCAGTGAAGAGCGCTTTAGACCGTCCCTAGAGGAGCGCCTGGAAAGCATCATTAGTGGTGCTGCGCTCATGGCGGACTCGTCCTGCACGCGTGATGACCGACGTGAGCGAATTGTGGCAGAGTGCAACGCTGTTCGCCAAGCTCTGCAGGACCTGCTCTCAGAGTACATGGGCAATGTGAGTGTCAGAAGAGCACTTTTTTTGGTTGTTCCCTTGTTGTTGTGGTAGTGTTTAAGATTGAACCCAGGGCCTTAGCACTAGGCTATTCTGTTCTCCCACCCCATCACTTCTTTGTTTTAATTTTTAAGACCTGGTGTTGCTGAGTTGCCCAGGCTGGATTCCAACTTGTAGTCCTCTTGTTTCAATCTTCCTGAATGCTGAAATTACAGGCATGTGCCCTTACACACAGCTAGAATTTTTCTTTGAAGTGAGATATTTATGTCTGAGGAGTTTTCTATAACATGCTGTACCTTAGATATTTTAACTATTAATATCATGTATATATTCTTGACATCTTGGCTTTTTTGGTGGGTCAGAGTTTTAAAGAAATGGGTAAATGACTTTCTAAATGGCCCTTTCTCCCCTAACCTTTTGTTTTGCAGAAATTTAAACCTAAAATCATGCAATGAGCACCTCTATGCCCTTTCTCTAGATTCAGCAATTAACACATAGATAAATGTTTATATGCCAGTGTATTTTTTTTTTCCTCTGAAACATGAAGCATTTTGATGCTTTATCTTCATGGATTTTAGCATGCATCTCTTTACTATAATGACCTTCTAAAGTTTTGTTATCATAACTAGGTATCTGTCTAAATTTGGGCAGAAGAAAATGCTGAAAATCCATCTCTTTTAATATTTATCAAAATTTCTTTCATGAAATTTTCTCCATGAACCATGTAGAAAGTTGAAAGAGTAGATAATTGCAGTGTATAGCTGTATGAGGCAAACTCAATAATATTTTTGAATTTTTTTTTTTTTTGTACCGAGAATCAAACCCAGACCTTGTGCTTGCCAGGCAGATGCTTGTGCCACTGAGTTATATCTCCGGCCCATTTTTGAAGTTTATGCTTAAAAACCAGTGCTGTGAAATTTGACACTTTTTTGCCATAGAAAATCTGAGTTGTTAATTTTTCTCTATTGTCATATGTTTCCTCTTTTTTTTTTTTTTTTTCTTTTTTAGTACCAGGAATTGAACTCACAACCTCACGCTTGCCAGGCAGGTGCTGTGCCACTGAGCTATATCCCCAGCGTGTCACATGTTTTCTTGTTTTCCTTCCTTTATACTTTCTCTTTCATTCTTGTTACTTAATGTTAATTTTTTTTTTTTTTTTTTGGCAAGGTGAAATTTTTGCTAATTAAAAATTACTTTTTATTTATTTACTTAATGTTAATTTAAAGTTATTGTAGTTCAGACCACGTACCCAATATTTTACTGTTGCAGGGAAGGAATAAGTTAATAAAATTATATAAAACCATTTTAAAAGGAAGAGGGAAAATACAAATTAGTTGTCTTCACTAGTGGTTTTGTTTTGCTTCGTTAACACTTTTCAGAAAATGATCTTGGTCCTTATTTGTTCATTTACTATACTTTTTTTTTTTTTTTTTTGAGACAAGGTCTTATTATGTAGTGTAGGCTGGCCTCGAACCTATGTCCTGCCTCAGTCTCTGGAATGCTGGGATTATAGGTGTATGCCACCTCGCCTGCCTTATATATCTTGATTTTTCTTTTTTCCCTAATCCCTTCCCTTCAACTCCTCTTGTCCTTATTTACAAAAGCTTTGTTTCCATTTTTTCCCTTCTATACTTCTTTTGCTTCTTCCTTCCTTTCCCCCTCCCCACCTCCTTTGTTCACCTTCCCATTTGAACATTTTTTTTCCTGTTTCTCTTGTCTGTGTGCTTATAATGGTGAGTCATGATGGAATTCCAAGGGTGACGATGAATGCCTTCCTGTGTTTATCTTGTTTTTCCTATATGGTGAAATTAGTGAAGCATTGAATTTTAAGCCTTTGCCATGTTTTGATCATAGGCAGTCTACTTAAGAAAAATGAGATTAGAAGTTTAGTTAATTCAAATGGAAAATGTAGTTGATAAGTCATAGTGGAAATGTGGAACACTTTTAAAAAATCCCTAACTGTTCCTGAGAATTACAAAATACAAAAAGATGGATAAGTTAAAGAGTGGCTCACAATGTTGGAGTCATAGCAAGGGAACAAGACTCAGAGTATTTATGTGGATTAGTTATCTGCTGTTACGTATAGTGATGGAAGTGACACAAAACTGTCCACTGCATTTGTGATTAGGAAGCCCCTTTGGAAACAGCCTTTGATGGGGAAAATGATAGGATAAAACTGCAGAGCTTCCTAATGAGTCTCAAGATAACCCTTAAGTCCTAGGGTTGCTCAGACTGTCTAGGTGGCCAACCTTGACTTGAGTACTTTCTGGTTTCTTCCTAGAGCATCCTGCAAATAGTAGTACTTTCTGTTCATGATGTAGATGTAGGAAAAGTACTGTTCTGTAGGAAAAGTACTTGTTTATGATACAGATGTAGAAAAAGCTGTGAAATACTCATTTAGTATATCGAAAACTTGAGACCAAAACATAAGCGTCTTTAAGTGAGAAGTAGAACAATGCTTGAAGTTAGCCTGAAGGCTGAGTAGGTGGTGGAGGTCTTGAAGGAAAATTTTTTTGGGATTCAGAAGTACATTTTAGGAGCTGAACTCTAGGAATGTTTCTCCTGAAATTGTCCATAGTTTCCTTTCTGTTGACTCATGTGAAACAAGCAGGCTCAGTCTTGTCAAGAAGCAGTGGAGAAGTCTATAATCCCAGCACTTGGGAGGCTGAGGCAGGAGGATCGCCAGGAGTTCGAGGCTAGCCTGGACTACAAAGTGAGTTGAAGCCCAGCTTGAACTGCACAATGAAACCCTGTCTCGAAAAAAAGACCAAAAAAAAAAAAGAATAAGCAATGGAGAGAGTATAAATAGAAGGCACTGGAGTGCACTTGAAGAGGGTTGGAAGGGTCCAAATAAGTAGAAGCAGCTAGGGATAGATTTTTGTTCACATGTGAAGCATTTAGAAACATTTACAACCTGAAGTGATAGTCAGAATTTTAACTGGGCATCCCTGCCTGTCACTCAGTTCACATGGAGTTTGTGTCACATGCAAAAAAGCAGTATTTTGGGCACCATGTAAAAGGAGGAATGAAGTTCCAATTCCTCCTTTCCAAAACAGACAGGATCTCTACAGGGTATTTAATGCCATGCAAACAGCAAGGAGAATGAGATTATTTCCTGCTGGGAAGTCAGAGACTTCTTGGAAGATTTATTTTATATTCTTCTGACTAAAAAAAAAGTTTACTTTTAAAAGGGTTATTTCTGATGAAAAATATTAGACAAGTAATTATAGTATGACCTGCATCAATTAAAACTTGTTTTTTTT